AGAAGCTTTTTTGACATTTTATACACAAATTAGCTGCAAATTGAGAAAATACAACACTAAAGGTAGGATCCCCATGTTCAAAAATACTGGGAACCACTGACCTAAACCAATCTTCCTTTTCTACCACTTGGTAAAGTGTGTAAACTGCACGTGACTCAATAAATGCTTATAAATTCAACAGGGATGACAAAAATCAGGCATCACCATCCCAATAATATAACTGTTCCAAATTCTTCTGGATGTCTCAGAAAATCAGGCGAAGAAATCACAGCTCACAGAATCTGCCCAGGCTTGAATGCTGCCCTGGGGTCACTGGCAAGCCACAGCCCAGGGCTCTTCTTGATTCACCAAGGCAGCAAAACAGCCACACTCATCATCATCTGCTTAAGTCAACTAGTTGGTGTAGTCTGTTAAAACCCTTAATCTAGAAATGGGAATGCTCCCTTATGCCAGCAACATTTAGACCACAAGAGAATGCCGATCTCAGCAGGTAGCAGACTCAATAGGTGGACTTTTATGGTTATAGGCTTGAGTGCTCATTTTCACCTAATTGACTGCAGCATTTCACTAAGAAATATATACGAGGTGTCATGGCCAGCCTCAGCTTCTCCCCTCCTGATGGCTCCTGCAATTGTGCATGTGGACTTAGATAAGGCGATTAGTTGCCAGCCTGTGCCTTTTTACTATAGATACATACCAAGTGACTTGTTCTTATAGAACTGCAAGAGCTCTTTGAAACTTGGAGTAGTCAAAGACAGAGACTAGACACTCTATTAGTTCTTAATACAATATGGTATTTATTTCTTGACCTACATTACGAACTGAATTCCCAGGGACCTCCAACTGTTTACTTGTGACAAAAAGAAAAATAGAATACAAGTTCATTTACCCTGAGGGAGAATAAAGATCTTATGAACTTTCCAGGAAAGGTTAATATCCAAGAGAGTGGACACCGAGAGAAAATTCATCCATGATTCAGTTATTAAGCACCAATACAACACCCAGAAACAAGAAATATAAAACCCAATCTCCCTCTCATGGGAGATTACAACCTAGCGAGAGGGAGTTGAGTCCTACAAGGCTGCATGAGCAGTGAATGGTACAAACGACAATCGCCTTGCGGTTCCGCAGATGCCTGCAAGTAGAAGCAAGAAGATTCCGAAAAGACCTTGGCCATAAAGAATGCTTTTGATTTTGGTTAGCAAAAAAATGAGAAGGATTTCTAATCGATTTAAAGACAATTAAATGTTTAAAATAAGTAAAGGATACAAATGGAAACAACAATAAGAAATAAAAAATAGTAAACAATTTTTTTTACTGAGAAGGAAAGGAATTTTGCATGGTATGGTTCATCTGGATGAAACGCGGAACTTTGTAAATATGTCCTTTCAGAAAGTCTTTCTCAGGTAGTAAAGGAATTTTGCTGCTCAAGTTCTCAGCTTCTGACTCTAAGATGCAAAGAAATGAGTTTACCTTGAGGTGACGTGCTATTTAATGACGTCTGCTGTCTTCTGACATAAAAATTTTGAGAAAAACAGAATAATCACTCAAAATCTTAATCTACTCTTGAAAGGAGATATTGACCCAATATCAGAGATAGATCCAAAATGTCAAAGTAGTATTATTCAAGTTGCCAATAAAATGGAAACTTTATGACAAACAGGAAATTTTGTTCATAGCTAAGTGCTTATTTTTGCTGAGTATC